GAAGTATTCGTAATAAATAATATCTTGAAGAGTAGGGAAAAGTTCTCAGTTCAAGTCTTTTGGGAAACCCTATATATTTGTACACGCGGAACAACGTGTACGTCATGATCGAACGTCTAATATTTGCCAACCGGACGCGATCAATTTCATTCGTTTCGAAATCTACGCGAAACGTAAATAAAATAATTTTGTTCGTGTCTGAAACTGGGAAACGAACACCGTTCTGAAGGGTACAGGATTCCGTTTTATTTTATGGAAAATTCAAGCACGAATATGGAGTGAAACGTGCACCAATCTTTTTCGTACAGTGGATTGAAAATAGATTGAAATAGCAATTCGTCTCTGTGTTGTATATTTACGCGAAACTGCTTCCATACGTTCCCGCTATTAGCGATGGGATCAAGCTTGTAGCGAGTAGGATTAGAACTATTCGAATAATTGGAAAATATTCTATAACTACGGTGGAACGTCGATTATTGCAGAAAACCGGAAATTGCTGCACTAATCGAGGCAACCACTCTAATGAATGGTCTATAACCATACATAGCTTATTCCCACTAGTACTGTCAATCATACTTGTTGCTTAGTGGCGCCCCCCCCCACATGCTTGTCGACACCGTGTAACGAACGAGGGTCTCGCGTAACAATCGAGATTGCAATAATCGTAGCTCTACTGTATGTAAATATTACTAATTGATAACCATTTCAACATTACTACTGGAATATTGTTAATCAAATAAAGAAACTACCCATATATTTACGATAAAAGTTTCTACAATGAGCGGAGACAATATCCCCATACAGTATAACCTCAATTATCCGAATGTTTGATTTTCTAAATACCACTAAGTCGAATGTGTGATTATTGAAATTCGATTAACCGATCGTTTGGCTATTGGAACACCGCGACGCCCTGATTAGTTCAGACAATCAAGGTTCTAGTGTACTTACATGTAACCTAATCTAACCCAACAAGACCTTGAGCACTACAGACATTTAATTAAATATGTCTAATCAAAGAAATTACTATATTATTAGGTTCAATTAGTTAATAGAAAAACTTTCTATTATCGAGGGTATAAATATAAAGTTTAAGGAACATTTGATCGTTTATACGATCGCTGTTAAACTTGACTGGTATTGCACGACGAGCAGATTAATGTCTTGTTCTGACTCAGTGATTCTAAATATAAGACAAGTATAAAAAATTACTGTACACGTTTGATACTAATTTGAAGTACCATATACGTTACAGACGTCGACATCAATTTAACGACACCAAGTATTTAACAAATTTATGGGTCCTTTTGGTCAAATTATGATTTTTATGAGTTTCACAAAAGAAAACTACGAGATATGACAAAGGAGGTTATTAGATTTTATTCGTCTACAAGTGAAGAATATGAATGAATGTTAATTTAACCAGAGTGTACAGGTTAGGTCTGGGTTAGGTTTAATCCATGATTTTTATGAGTATTTCAAAAGAAAACTGTACGAGATATGACAAAGGAAGTTATTAGATTTTATTCGTCTACAAGTGAAGAATATGAATGAATGTTAATTTAACCAGAGTGTACAGGTTAGGTCTGGGTTAGGTTTAATCCATGATTTTTATGAGTATTTCAAAAGAAAACTGTACGAGATATGGCAAAGGAGATTATTAGATTTTATTCGTCTACAAGTGAAGAATATGAATAAATTTTAATTTAACCAGAGTGTACAGGTTAGGTCTGGGTTAAATTATGATTTTTATGAGTATTTCAAAAATAAAGCTGTACGAGATATGGCAAAGGAGATTATTAGATTTTATTCGTCTACAAGTGAAGAATATGAATAAATTTTAATTTAACCAGAGAGTACAGGTTAGGTCTGGGTTAAATTATGATTTTTATGAGTATTTCAAAAATAAAGCTGTACGAGATATGGCAAAGGAGATTATTAGATTTTATTCGTCTACAAGTGAAGAATATGAATAAATTTTAATTTAACCAGAGAGTACAGGTTAGGTCTGGGTTAAATTATGATTTTTATGAGTTTTGCAAAAGAAAACTGTACGAGATATGGCAAAGGAGGTTATGAGATTTTATTCGTCTACAAGTGAAGAATATGGATAAATTTTAATTTAACCAGAGAGTATAGGTTAGGTAGCGTATTTAATTCGACGAGCATCTGCTCGATGCCAACGAAACGATACTGAGGTATCGGATTGATTTTGAAGAGTAAATAGTAAACGGAATCCCACCACTACCGAATATCTATACAGATCGGTCGAATCGAACTTGAAAAGGCGGAAGCGATCCACCAACCGCACGGTTCGTGTCGTTAACCCTTGCAGAGCACGAATTGCATCAGTGTGATGCAATTTCCAACGAAATAAAAGCATCGATATAACCTTAAAACGATGTATGACGGATACAAAATATTCACCTATAGATGGACAATCTTTGACATTCCAAAATCAACAATGATCCTACAAAAATTGCATCAGTTAAAATATGAGGTTCGTTCACGTCCGCCATATTCCCCAGATCTGGTATTAAGTAATTTCCACGTACTCAAACATTTACAACATTCGTTTGCAAATTAAAAAAATTTAATAACCGTACAGACGTTAAAAATACATTTAGAGATCTGTTGATTTTGTTAAAAAAAAAATTCACTGAGCAGAAATGTATTGTATGATTAATTTGAACAAAGTTAAATATTTATGTACGGGCTCGCTATTTCGTATGCAACAGCCTAATAAAATCGCTACCTAAAAGATTGCCCACCTGTGGGTAAACACCCCCCTGCACGCACGGCGCATGCGTTCGTTTCCATGCTCGATTCGCTTCCCTCTCATTGAAAAAGTTTCACAGAAATCAGATACACGAATCGGATGCGAGCTCGTTGGCCCAATGAAACGAAGTGACACGAACGTGCCATGGAATAATCGTAATGCAAATACTGTACACGCTGCACGTAAACTGTTATCGGCGGCAGTGTCAAACCGACTAAGAACGATCCGGTAATTACTATACCTATTGTCGCCTCAAAACATCATATTGCCGCTTATGTCATTTTCTCCGAAGTTCGACTCGACTGGTGCTATTGCAACGGAAGAGAACCGACATTCGATCGGTAATATTCTGGATGAACCACGTAATTTGCTCTTCACATTACTCTTATCGTCTCTATTCGAATACACGAACGCCTCAATGATACAAATATAAATCAGATATTGTTTAAATACACTTATAGTTAAATATTCTATTCGTTGGGGGACTTGGTTAAATATCTAGTTGTTTGTAGGTTATATTTTACGTTCTGGCAATACAAATTTTTATACGCAAGGTTAATTTTCAATTTTGGGTATTGTTTATTTTACTTTTTATGTAACAGCTTTATACATCACGTTGAGAGAAATAGGTCAAGGCATGGCAAATTGCTACTTCTCAACCTAACCTAACATTACTCTTCGGTAACTTCGTGTTCCTTCGAAATCTCATGGGTCGGGTAAATCGAATCTAGTTTTAACTTCTCAGGTGAAACGTATTACGAGCAAATTTTACTTTTTATATAACAATTTTATACATCATATTGAAAGAGATGACAAGTACAATAAATAGAGAAAGCAAGACGAAAGGTCGAGGCATGACAAATTGCTACTTCTCAACCTAACCTAACATGACTCTTCGGTAACTTCATGTTCCTTGGGAATCTCATGGGTGTTCGGGTACCTGGGTCAGGTAAATCGAATCTAGTTTTAACTTCTCAGGTATCTTCTGGGTTCCGACAACGCAATCACGGTAAAATATATTACAAGCAAATTCGAAAAATACATTTAATATTAACATAAAATCAGACTGCATTAGCGAATAGGCAGTAACCAATTAGCGTCGTTGCACGATAACGCGACGCCTCGATTCGTCAAGGATCGCGATAGAAAAAAGTTAACGAATTAAGAACGAAAACTATTTCCATATCCTGCTTCTTCGTCTGTGACCTTTCTTCGATCAAACTTGTATTTTATTCGCATCGATTCCTAAAAATGTAAATTATTCTCGAAACAATAAATCCACGAAAATAGAGAATCGTTTTATCACGGAAAAATGTAGAACGCCGCATGCAAAGAACTTCCATTAACACGCTCGGCATTCGTTCGAATTGTAGCGTAAAAATGATAAATATTCGATAATTTAATAGCGAATAATAGATCGAGTTCGAAGCATCCGTCACCGGCGACCACCATGGCAGTCAACGTGTTAAATATATGAAGTCTGAAAAAAGAATTGTATCGCTTTGAAGTTTCTTTGACGAAGAAAAAGCGATATTTCACGTGCAGCAACGTGATATTTATTTTACGCGCTCTATTTCCATCGTTTCCACGTTTGTCGGCCGCTCGTATGATAATCGCGACGAAGAACGCGGGAGGGAAGATAAATAAAATGCGACGATTAGAAATCGTATAAGTCTTAACAATCGTATTTGTCGAACCGTTCGCGTAGAATAATAAAGCGTCGTTCTGATCGACGCCAAAGAAATTAACTTTACGACAACACGACCAACGTCAAACACACGTATCCGTTGAAAAAAGCCAGTCGCCCCGATGCCTAATAAAACTACGGACAGCTTCCTATTAGGCACGATCGAAACGTGCATTTCCTTCGTCGGAACGAGCGTGAAAGAAAAACGCCCGTCCCGCGGCAAGCGTAATAAATCCAATAAATCTGTCGATGCGTTTTTCTCTAATACATATATTCACGCCACGCTGAATCTAACCTATCGAGATGCCAGAAAACGATCGACCGCGTCACGGGAAGCGAACGACCGACGAAAAGAAACGAAAGAAAAAAAAAAGAAAAGAAACGCGGAAAAAGCTACGTACAAGCAGCCCGAAACGAAGGTGGAAACGACGAAGCGGCGAAAACACGAGGAAACTTGTACTTTGCACTATCAGCGTTCCGTCGTGGAAAAGGAGAAAAAAGAAAAAACAAAAAACAAGAGACGTGTTTACTCACTTCCTCGCCGTCCGTGCGGTTACAACACTTTCGGTGCACTTCACGTCGCCGATCGTCGAATCGTTTCCGAGGCGGTATCGCACCGGTTCAAGAACACCGGAACGCTTCCACGAACAGGAAGCCGAAATTGCTTCGTCGCGTCGACGGGACGTCTCGTTTCTCGTCGATGTAAAATTACGGGAGGGAAAAAGGCGAAAAAACGAGGAACGATTCGCGTATCGGCTCGTTAGCTCTTCCACATTAAATACGTGTCACGGACACGACGAATTCTCTCGCGCACAAAAATTATTCGAACGTGGTTCACGTTCGATTCATGAACGGGATCGGCTAAAAATGCACTGTCGGAATTTCGGTGGCGACGAGCGAGTGTACAGCACGGTCGCTGTGTATCACCGATACGCACGAACTGTATACGCGACAGCGAACGATGCGCGTCGGTCGGTGGTTCTGGCACGACTGGAGCGCTGGACAGAGTGCACGGTACACGGCTTCGGATCCGGTCGGCTTTACATATGGCTGAGCGTCACCGAGTGATCAATCGAGTCGCATCTTTCTGTATATACTTCTTACCAAATTTTCGTTGCTTACGTTGCCATTATCGCATTGTCACGCACAATATGTTCGGTGATCGATCTAAAAAAATAATAATAATTGCTTATATCGATCGTGCGTAAAGTAATTTGTACGCAAGATTATGTACCGAGCGATTAGAAAGATAATTTCGAATTGGGAATTATAAAGTATTCCTGATAAATTACGTATTTAAAGACGAAAAATGCTATGTTTAGATATTTTGTTTGCGATGCAATATGTGGGGAAAATGAAAATGGCAGATTCGTCGGTAATGCAGGAATTGCTGGGTAAATGCACGCTCTCTTGGTATAACAGAACACTTTTGGCGGTAAATTTTAATTTACGTACTAATTTGTATTTTATTTGTAGCTTACTATCTTCTAAAAGAAGAGGAATAAGCTGCACAAAGTATATTTGAAAATAAAGTAATGGTATAAATATAAAACGAAAATGTCAGGATACGAAGAATCTCGTAGGTGAAATAATCACAACGACATTGATCTTTTCGTTTTATTGTACCAAAAAATTTCATCTCGTTCAATCATTATTAATTCAATATAATATATTTATCCTTTATATTTGTTATATCTTATTTATAATAAATATTTTGTTATAGTGTAGTGTTCATTGTTATTCTTTATTGTGTCGCCATGAGCCATGAGAACGTGGAATCAGCGAGTTCTTAATTACCGTTACTATACTAACTAGAAAGACATTTTGTGATTCTTAACAAATCCATGAAACATATTTTTAACAGAAGCACGCCGCGTCGTTGCTTCTGCGCGTACCTATTTCACTTGTATTGTATTCTTTCTTTTCTCTTTTTACGTTTCATTTAATCGAAAAAAACAACTGAAATGCGTTAGACACTCGATTCTTTTGTCCCGGATTTTCGAGGAAATTATTCATCTCCTCGTTTGTTTAATAACGCGAGCACTCGGACAATATAGACAATCCATACGTTAAAACAATAGGTACTTAAGGAAATTGTACAACTAGCTTAAGGCTCTAGTTCTCTCAAATCAGTTCGAATTAGAATCTCGACGAGGAAGGTTTCTCAATTTTCGATCGGATCGTCGACTCGACACGATCGTTATTCCTCGTTTCCGGGCACCGCGTGTACAGCGGCGCAACTGATTTTAATGTACTAAGGCCTTAACGTGTCAAAGCAGCGGAGCTAATTACCGTTATGCAGTAAGAAAATATATATACCTCTACGGACACCAATAATTCGATCTTACGATCGTGCGTGGAACGTAGACACAGTTCCCAAAAACATCGTTAACTACTAATCGACTCGTCGCTCTCGAAATCCTGAACAAGTGCTCCAAATATGCCCTCGCTACGTTCCTCCCCTTTCTCGCCCTCGCACATTTTTATTTTATTTTATTTTTTCATCGTATAAAGCTTAACTTTGACTTTTAACGAGCATCTCGATTCCCCCGTAAACCCTGCAGTACTCGCGCGATCTACGACTCCTAGGATCGATTTCATAGAACTCCGAATAGGCTCTCGCACGTCGGGATTTTCGACTTTCTGGTTTCTGTAGAAACTGAACTGAACACATTTCGCTCGGGTCTCGCCAGCCACGCGTTTTTCCATTTAAAACTTTTCTGATTCTCGTGCTCGTTCGTCGAGCAAATTATTGTGAGGTGATAGGCTGACCTACTGCAGAGTCGATGACGATCACGTTTTGTATGTTTCGGCATCTTAATGTTAGTACTAAACGTTACACACTATGCATCGAAGAATGCTTCCACCGACGCGTACCGATAAGTTTCAAGTCCCCGCGGATCTCGATCTTGTTTTCGATCGATCGTGATAAGTCAGCGAAACGTCTGCCTTCCCCGCTGGACTCCCACGCACGCGCAAAGACGCTCAGAGGTTTAACCCGCGGTTATGATCTCTCTTATTGGTCTCTTCGGGGGCTGTAGCCTGGTCCGGGGAACGCAAATATTTTATAAACTATCGAATACGTCTATTTTAGATATTATTACTTAGTAAAAAGGGCAGAAGAGATATTGTTTCAAGTTCCGGACCAGACTGCTACCTCGAACCTGCGGGGCAAGCCTGCGGGCGAAACCAAAGACTCGCCAATTAGAAAACGCCTGAATGAAAATATCGTTCCTCCAGTTTCCTTCAAATTTGTTATTGTGCACTTTCTGTCTACCGATCGTTCATCACGTGTTCATAACATCAACCCTTTCACTGCTGTAAAATTCCTGTACGCGCACTGGTTATGCGTGCACGGATAACGCCTGTCGAAGGTGGGGTAGGCTACTTAGTTTTCCAACGGTTAATTAAACAATCAAGAAAGTATCTCGTGCACTGCGTTAAACTACTATTGCGTGTCTATAGTGGCGCTACAGCGGTCAGAAAAGATATAACGAACGCCTCGAGGCGGAGTATTGTGCAAAAGCGATGCCCCCGCGGATGGGAGCCGCCATTCATTAACGGAGTCGCAACACCTGCCTCCCTTGGCGCGATCAAATGTGCCACGATCGGTGCAAAACGGATCGTCTCAAGGCCACTTTCCCCGCCGTGAATCACGATAGATTTCCATCTTAACGCTACGTTGCCTCGTCCCTTTGTTTAAAATACCGGTGTTTACAAATTTCAATTTCGCCGTAGAAACGAGCGCGGGGCCTTGAGCGATCGATCGATTGCCCCGACTTAAACCGAGAAAAAGTACACAAATCGTCCGTTTTCTAGTTAGATCGATTTCACGAGTTCGCTGTATCTCCTCCAACTTGTTCCTTAGTGTTACAAATAAGTACATGCGTGCAAGCCCGTCGCAGTGAAAGGGTTGGTTGGATTTATGCATTTACGATCGTGATTTGGTAGAACGTTGTTCCTCGACTTTCACTACCCGCGCGAACCCCCTCGATCCCAGGGTGTACGCGTAACGTATTTTACTACCGCTTACAAATCTCAAAATATTACAGCGTATTTCAATGTTTCAGGCGCACACTGGAGAATATATTTCACGATTCTCGACTCGTCCACGGACCAAATTTACAATAGTCTCGACGGTTTATCGACGGAAAGTGAAAATGGATTTTTTTTTTTTAAATTCCCGACTAGGTTACAACGAGCGAATCGAATTAAATATATTCTCCGTTCACGTAACAGCATCGTTGTTGGGTTATTTTGTGTAAAACTAGCTTCGATCGTTTCGATCGGACAATAACGATAAGATCTGTATAGCTTTAATCAACCATTATTGCGAATGCGTACGTTGGCATCGTCATTAACACATTAGATAACATCGATGATATAGTATTATGAACGAGTAGCAAAAATATTGCTATTTCCTTGTCTCGATGAAAGTTATCTAAAGGTGGGTTATTATATCGCTCGATAGTTGTTTCCGTTCGCAAACTCTCAACGCGTTGCTGGAAAATAATTTTAAGGAAAGTAACGCGTCTCAACGGGGGGGGGGAATAATCGTGTCGTTGGACGAGTCACGGTTTCAGAATTTGCTCAAAATCCTCGCTGAAATACGATTGTTCCCGCCCCCCGAACAGAAACGATAGATTCCGGGGGTGAGGGGCTGTTGTGCAGCTCGACGAGAGATCTTAAACATCGTGAAACTTAATTAAAAAGAAACTTATGATACAGGGTTGAAACGTTTTCAACGAGTTCGACCGGTTGGTTCGTCTAAAATTAACGGAACCAACACTCACTTTGGCAACGAATGGCATTGCTCGTCACTGCTAGCTTTTGGAGTTGTCCCACGTATACTTACGTATCTCCGTTACGTTTTTTCCCCGTTAGAAGCGAATAAATCGACGAGACTTTTGCTCGAGACAGCGGATAACGACTCCTTTGCATTCGTTTAATGGAATTTTTTAAAGGCAGAGAAATTAATACGCACGCGCAGCTGTGGAAATGATATTTTTATGGCCTCTTGCTTCACGAAGCTTTGTGGATGAAAAGGTGGCAATTGGGTACGCAAGTGGAGGAAGCACGGTAGCACGGTTATTGTCTTCTTGCAAATCTTTTGCCACGGACAGTCCCGACATTCTGCGCAAAGATTGAGCAAGTTAGTGTGACACAAGAAAAAATGTTTTACCGTAGAGCAGAGAACGTCTGGTACTTATATTCTCATCGTTCTGACGAGCAGGCGATTTAGCAGGGGACGCATGGATGTGTAATATCAACGAAAATTCGTATCGTCCTAAGACAACTGTAAAAAAATAAACGTGTAGTACGATATAATTAATGAAGTAAAACATAAGGAGAGACAAACAACAGTTGCAAAAAAATAAAAAATGATTATTAAAACTATCCTTTTTTTTTTTTCAATTGGTTAAACAATCGGTTAGTAAAACCATATACATAATAGAGTTGTGCGAATACGATCAATAATAACATATAATAATTAAATCGATAATCCTATGTTACATGTATAAAAGTAAATAATGTGAGATCTGTGAATACGACTTTACCTCCAATCACTGTATACTACGAAGAAAAAAACGCAAGTTTCGATTTATTTCTTTTCTTCTTCATTGTCTTTCTTTTGTTTTGTTTTGTCTTGTTTTGGTTCCCTCGCTCACGACGAGGTCTAAAAAGTGATAATGCCTGGAGACGCGCTAAGAATCCTAATGAAACGTATTAAAGCTACTGCACCGACTTAACTTCGAACTAAAGAGAACGTTTCACGGAAAGATACGGGGCGCAGATAATAAACTAAGAGAAACTGCCGCGAATTATTGCTAAGAATTACAAACAGGCTTTCTAAACGAATTGCTGTGTCTTTCCGCGCATCGTTTTTCTTCTCTGTGCCGTTCTATGCCACGAAACCTCGAAAGATGCGCGGCTGTCGCTGACGGCGGGACGACACCACGGAGAAAGAGACGGAAAGAAGAAATAAAATGTGACAAGAAACGATACGTAACAACAAAACTTTTACATGCTTGTTACAGTTGGCCTGAGAATGACGTCGTGGGGCACACGGGGATGCCCAATAAGCCATACAAACGCCGATGTTGGTTTCACTCCATTTTAATAACCATTTCTCTAATTAGTAAATACATATTGCTATACACTTCACCAACGGATAGAGCCCGCTGCGAATCATACCAAAAATCCATGAAAGTACGTCTTAAATAATCGTAAATAATGTAAATTCTGAACGGCATCCGCCTTCGCGCGAATGTCGATTTTCCTTAAATAAAAAGGAAAAAAAAAAGATTCTATCGATTAAAATTCAGGGGCGCGGCTATCGTAATTACGAGTTTTTTTTTTTCAAGACCATCGTTCGTCTCCTGATATCGGGGGTTAAAAAACGTACAATAAATAAAATGAACCTCTTCGTTGGGGCGTGTCTCGACGCGGTACGCGAATTCTTCGACAGCGAGCATAATTTTTCGCGCGAGCGTACGAAAGAAACAAGGCGCGCGAAAACGTGTTTGCAAGAGCGGTACGATAGGCGCGCCCGTGTATGAATAATAATAGAACGATAATAATAAATTCATTCGTTAAAAATTAAGGAGTGAACCTACCGCGAAATACAGACGAGAAATTTGTCTTACAAACTTGTTTTTTTGGTGGAAGTATTTCTCATTCTTATTCGCGTTTTACGAATCGTACTCCGGAAAAAATACACGATCGTCTCGACAGCTCGACGATTCTCGTCGTCTTCTATTTATTTATTTTTTCTTGTTTTATTTTTTCCGTTAACATTACACCTATATTCGAAAATAAAAATCACACGCTACGTTCAATTCGTAATCTTCCCGATTGATTTGATTTGATTGCGTTCGTTAATGATGCTCGTCGTATTCACCGATGTTTACCCAATGAGACAATTTCGTTTTTTTTTTTCTTCTTTTTTTCTTTTACTGAGACCCATATAATAAGGCACAATTTCCTGCCTGAGAAGGCACTAAAACGCCGGCGTCTATACTCGTACGTATAGTTGATCGTATTGCATGCACGTAAATCACGCAAAAGGAGAGAGATCAATTTGAAGCAAGTTACAACTAAACAAAGAGATTATTGTGCACCAAGATTTGTACAAATTCGTTTTTCACGTTTACACGAAGTTCACGTATCATCGATCGTTATACTTTTCTATTATTATTCGTTTCGCAATTAGTCGTCGCAATCGCTACCCTTCTCCTTACACATGCCGTTCATTTATATATTTATTTTTCGATTTCCTCTACGATTCCGTCCCGCTCTTCTCTCTCCACCCCAAATAAATCCGATTTTACAAACGAGCCGTCGGTGGAGGTAACACATGGTACCCGGTGTATTTGCACGAACGCGTGTTGGTGAAAGCTGCCTCTAAAAAATATCTATCGTATCAAAATCGCCAAACGGTAAAAAGTAAAACGCGAAGTTAAAAGCGTCCTCGTCGGAGTCATCCTCGTTTCGATTGCGAAATTTTCAGCGTTCGAGCGGTTTCACACCAAACGATTTATAAAATAAGAGGGGGGTGGGGGGTGGATTTATAAAAATTTAGCGACGTCCGTTTAGACGGTGGCGTCCAAATCGCTTCTACTTCCTCCCGTGTTATTTAAATCTACGTCCATCTCCGAATACTGGCGCAACTCCGTTGAGAACGTCGCACCCTCGTCTTGCGACGCTCGAAATCGACTCGTGTCCTCGATCGTTTTCCTTCTGCCGAACATTGCCGATCGGGCGGACTTCAACTGCGGTTGGATCGTCCCGACATTTAGATCGTTACTTAAACGCCGTTTATACCGTAGACTCGTCAGTGTCTTCAACACTATTGTCGAAGCCTTATCCCGTGGCTGCACCCTGCGAGGGAAACGTTCAGGGATGGTGACAGAACAAAGGAAGATGGACCTAGTACCGATTCATTTTCCGGCTATCTTCAAAAGAGAAACAATAAAACGCCAACAAATCGAAAGAAATTCACACGGTGATCGTTCGAGACGAGTCATTTTCGTGCCAACATCGTCGCCCCTGCCAATGGCGTGACCTCGAGAATTGCTCGCAGACGTTACAAAAGAGTCGTTAACTCGGTTACGAATTTTCGAAATACGAGGAATCGAACGTTTGATCGAAACAATGCTAATCGGGGGGGAGAGAGAGAGATAACGTGTCCCGTAGGCGGAACGTCGAGTACCCAGACATTGCAACACCCCGTAAGGAATACGAATCGACTTTCGTGCTCGTGCAACGTGTTAACGTCCATCGAGGGAGGGGGGCGAGAAAAAAAAATGAAAAAGAATGGTAACGAGAGTAAAAAAAAAAATATATATTTCAAACGAGATGGCGCGAACCCGGAACCAAAATAGTAAACAAGAAAAAAAGAAAACACTTTTGCACGGATGTTCGTTACATGGTTTTCACGGTGCGATCGCTTGTCAAACGTGGACGATGATTCCGCGATTGTTCCGTCCGGATCGATGCCGAAGTCAGAACGATTGGTAATTTAAAAAAAAAAAAGAAATAAAAATCGACAGCCAGTCGATTGACGGCGAACTCGTGAATTCCAGCGAATGGTTCTCTCTCGATTCGACAAAGAAGCGACGACGCTTCGCGTAAAGAGAACTCCAAAAGCGATTCTCTTTTTTCGGTCCTCGCGCGTCGTATTTTTTTTTGCAAATTCCTTCCGTGTTCTATTTGTTCTTTTTCTTTTTCTTTCCTCGTTTTGTCCGCAATGCTTCGTCGTTCGTTCCCTTTTACCTCGCGACAATCGACAGGCAACCTGGTCGCGGTTTCTTTTTTTTTTTTTCTTTTTCTTTTTTGAAAATGTTTCTACGAAACGATTAGTGACGAGAGTTGCCACGTGGCTAAACCGACAGTGAGGTCCGGAGGTTCGAATGTAAGCATCTATTTGGTAGGACGAGCGATCGGGGTTTACAGAGAATCGAGATTAAGGATATGGGTACGGATGGTAAAATATTTGGTTACAACTCCATGTCCTGTGCCTCGTCCTCGCTGAAGTCGCTCATCGAAGACTCGCTATCGGACGACATCCCGTTTCCGGTACCGCCGTTCTCCTGGTCCCTTAGCGCTTCCTCCGTCGCGTATTTCCTCACGTAATCTGTCGAGAAATCAAGAAGGAAATTGCATCCGTGGCTAATGCGCTCGGATATATTCTACGTGGAAATAACGTCGTCGCTTCGAACGGTGACAATTTACGTCGGGTGGGGGAGGACGATCAACCCGTTGCCTTGCGATTGTGCACAGTTCATCGTTAGAAAAATGGCTCTTAATCGTTCCGGGCCTGGTTTACTCAAACGCAAACACGTTGACTGCCACACCAAAACCGTACAATTCCAAAACTTCGATTTTGGACATAAAATTTCGATGCTTATTTTCGTAGCCTCGCTAAACTTCGTTCTATACAAATTTATTCAATTTCAATTTCAGAATTAATTGATCTAGTTCCATAGTGGGAAAGTCTTGCCACCTATACAGGGTGTCTCTCCCGATTTTGACATCTTGATTTTGATGGATTTAAAAAATGCCGTGATGTAAATGGTCGTTACGTTAAACCATTCCTGTAAATAAACGCTAACGTCTTAGTACAACAGTAATGGTGTTTTAGAATTATTTAAATTGAAATATCTCCTGAACTACTAATTTTTCGACGTTACATAGTTAGTACTTTTTTATAACGATTATCCAGCTGAATCGATTGATGTATTAAAAAATACCTCATTCCATTTAAAAAAACAAAGTTGACCTTTATATGACCTTTACGCGTCCACTCACGAAAAAACTAATAACATCAGAATATGCTCCACTCGATACCATTCAAGCCTCCGCTGAAACATTTTTTGTTATGAGTAACAATAGCGAGAAAATCAAGATGTCAAAATCGGGTGAGACACCCTATATGACGTGACAGTCAAAGTGTTAAATCAACGTTTACAACGTCAAATATTCATAGAAACGTTTCTATCAGGGAAGAGTACAACAACTTGTTCGTTTCACATCGTACCTATGGTGAGTTGGGATTTTCAGCTCTTACTGATATTAAAAGCAAACAGAGAGAACGTGGCTCCCTGTCGTGACACAGCACATGTGTGTTTCAACGTTGTGAAATATTGTAAAAAAATCATTAAGTACCAGTACTCCCATTGATGTTGATTCTAATGAATTTTGACAATCTTATAACATTCTGACCAGCAAAGGGATTAAACGTGTCGTGAGTGGCGGCGATCCAATTTGAAAGATCCGAGATACAAAGTGTAAAATATGCAGAAAGAAGTCGTTAATTCGCGAACACGCGCGTTACACATGTGCACGCGTCGCGTATATTGAACATCGACGACAGCGAAACAATACCAGGGCGCCACGAGCCCGAGCCGTGCGTGTTAACACGTTCGTAGCATAATCTCGCGCGACGATAGTGACTCATCGTTGCAAGGCGACGGGTTAATAAGGCAATCACCGAAGTGAGATGAGTTCTACAAACAAGACAGAACTCACCTGCTACTTTCTTCTTGTACTCCTCAGGTTTATGTAAATACATGGCCGCGGCGTCGCCATTTAGGGGGTCAATTGGATTAGGATATGTTAACAGTTGGGGCAGGAAAGACTCGAAAATATTCGATAAATCTGCAACAGAGAAGAAAATCGTTCGAGTTAAATTGCACTGTCGAAGGACCGTTTCCTGAAAGCGACGATATTTGCACCTGCCTTCGATAATTTGCTGTTAGGTAACAACAATTCAAGAACGTTTCGACGTAAATACGTACCGTAAAGGGCAGTCCAGGCCTGGTTTATTACGTCTAGACACACCGTGCCTGAGACTTCGTCAATGTTAGGGTGGTACACCTTGTTCATAAAGCCGATCGAAGGAGATTTGAAGGGATAGTGGTCGGGCAAGTGAACCCTCACCTTCCATATTCCGCCCTCGTAAGGTGCTGCAACGTGGTACGAACATATTTAGTAGCCGTTGTACGAGAAACGACGCGCACACGTCGCTCGCGCAAAAATATTCCCCCTCCCCCCGTGGACGGTTTGTTTACTCGTATTTTTAATTCTATTTTCGCTCGTGCAGGTCGGTGAACAAACAACAATTGTATTAGTAGGTATATTTACTTTCCACAAACAAATTTAAAAAAAAAAAAACTCAAACCGTACATTTTTTCGAGGGGGGTGAAATAATGTTATTTTCATTTTTTTCCATAGAAAAAATTAAACCAAAACTCCCTGCAAAAATCACGTTCGAGGCAAGTTTTCCACTTTTTCAAACTGAAACACGCTCCACGCAAAACGTTTCTTTTTTTTTTTTTGACACGAATTCGTCGAACTGAAATGCATCGATACGCAAAATGTCTGGTCGTGTAATTATGAGATCGGGGCACCGAAGAAACCGGAAAGGGCCAGTGCAATCGTCCCCAATCACCGTTCAATCTACAGAGGGGGGCGATTCGCGTGGCGCTCGTAGTTAACGTGTTTTCAGGCAAACGTAATATCGCTCGGGCGATTTCTGGGGCCGATTATTGAAATTGCTGATACAGTTATCGGGCAAGGTATTCCAGGCGGCTGGAAAGTCAGAGGCCGCGCCATAAATCGCGAATAGATGAAGGAAACTGGAACGTTCAACGGTAAAACACCCGGGTAACGCGTTGTTCTTTCGTCCAGGAAAAGGGACGGGAAATGGAAAGGAAGGATGGAAGGAAGGAAGGAAGGATGGAACGACGACTCCATTGTCCGCGGAGGAATCCATCAAAGTCGTGGGGGGCTAGGAAACGGGGATGTTTTTGGATCGAAGCTTACTTAAACCGCTTCTCCTTTCGCGAGGGAGTGCTCCTGGTATATCAAACAATGCAAATTCCGGGGACGATCGTACGCTTTTGTTCCGTACAAATTGCTTACGACACCGACAGACGTACTTTGGCGTCTTCGCGGAAACGGAAGCCCGCGGGATCGACGCTGGGACGTCCCAACCGACTTCAGAATCTTAAATATCTAATTTGTTCTTAATTTCATCCTGAAAAACAGTGTTCTTGCTATCCCATAACGCTGTTAATGACATTAATAGGTAATACAAATTTTGTCAGCTGATACTTTCGAATGTTTTTAATGTTTCTAAGCTTGAAATCTCAGTTGGATAGTATGGAGAAGCTATAGAAATTATTCCACGATCTTCAAATGATTTATTCAAGTCGAAGGACTTAGTTATTGCTGCTTATGGGTTGCATCGTGACATTGGGGCATCTCACTCGACTTCAGAACTTTAAATATCTAATTTGTTCTTAATTTCATCCTGAAAAACAGTGTTCTTGCTATCCCATAACGCTGTTAATGACATTAATAGGTAATACAAATTTTGTCAGCTGATACTTTCGAATGTTTTTAATGTTTGTAAGCTTGAAATCTCAGTTGGATAGTATGGAGAAGCTATAGAAATTATTTCACGATCTTCAAATGATTTATTTAAGTAGGAGGACTTATTTATTGCTGCTTATGGGTTGCATCGTGACATTGGGATGTCTCACTCGACTTCAGAACCTTAAATATCTAATTTGTTCTTAATTTCATCCTGAAAAACAGTGTTCTTGCTATCCCATAGCGCTCTTAATGACATTAATAGGTAATACAAATTTTGTCAGCTGATACTTTCGAATGTTTTTAATGTTTCTAAGCTAGAAATCTCAGTTGGATAGTATGGAGAAGCTATAGAAATTATTTCAAGATCTTCAAATGATTTATTTAAGTAGGAGAACTTATTTATTGCTGCTTATGCTCAGAACCTTAAATATCTAATTTGTTCTTAATTTCACCCTGAAAAACAGTGTTCTTGCTATCCCATAGCGCTCTTAATGACATTAATAGGTAATACAAATTTTGTCAGCTGATACTTTCGAATGTTTTTAATGTTTCTAAGCTAGAAATCTCAGTTGGATAGTATGGAGAAGCTATAGAAATTATTTCACGATCTTCAAATGATTTATTTAAGTAGGAGGACTTATTTATTGCTGCTTATGGGTTGCATCGTGACATTGGGGCATCCCACTCGACTTCAGAACTTTAAATATCTAATTTGTTCTTAATTTCACCCTGAAAAACAGTGTTCTTGCTATCCCATAGCGCTCTTAATGACATTAATAGGTAATACAAATTTTGTCAGCTGATACTTTCGAATGTTTTTAATGTTTGTAAGCTTGAAATCTCAGTTGGATAGTATGGAGAAGCTATAGAAATTATTTCACGATCTTCAAATGATTTATTTAAGTAGGAGGACTTATTTATTGCTGCTTATGGGTTGCATCGTGACATTGGGGCATCCCACTCGACTTCAGAACTTTAAATATCTAATTTGTTCTTAATTTCATCCTGAAAAACAGTGTTCTTGCTATCCCATAGCGCTCTTAATGACATTAATAGGTAATACAAATTTTGTCAGCTGATACTTTCGAATGTTTTTAATGTTTGTAAGCTTGAAATCTCAGTTGGATAGTATGGAGAAGCTATAGAAATTATTTCACGATCTTCAAATGATTTATTTAAGTAGGAGGACTTATTTATTGCTGCTTATGGGTTGCATCGTGACATTGGGGCATCCCACTCGACTTCAGAACTTTAAATATCTAATTTGTTCTTAATTTCATCCTGAAAAACAGTGTTCTTGCTATCCCATAGCGCTCTTAATGACATTAATAGGTAATACAAATTTTGTCAGCTGATACTTTCGAATGTTTTTAATGTTTGTAAGCTTGAAATCTCAGTTGGATAGTATGGAGAAGCTATAGAAATTATTTCACGATCTTCAAATGATTTATTTAAGTAGGAGGACTTATTTATTGCTGCTTATGGGTTGCATCGTGACATTGGGGCATCCCACTCGACTTCAGAACTTTAAATATCTAATTTGTACTTAATTTCATCCCGAAAAACAGTGTTCTTGCTATCCCATAGCGCTCTTAATGACATTAATAGGTAATACAAATTTTGTCAGCTGATACTTTCGAATGTTTTTAATGTTTCTAAGCTTGAAATCTCAGTTGGATAGTATGGAGAAGCTATAGAAATTATTTCACGATCTTCAAATGATTTATTTAAGTAGGAGGACTTATTTATTGCTGCTTATGGGTTGCATCGTGACATTGGGATGTCTCACTCGACTTCAGAACCTTAAATATCTAATTTGTTCTTAATTTCACCCTAAAAAACAGTGTTCTTGCTATCCCATAACGCTGTTAATGACATTAATAGGTAATACAAATTTTGTCAGCTGATACTTTCGAATGTTTTTAATGTTTGTAAGCTTGAAATCTCAGTTGGATAGTATGGAGAAGCTATAGAAATTATTTCACGATCTTCAAATGATTTATTTAAGTAGGAGGACTTATTTATTGCTGCTTATGGGTTGCATCGTGACATTGGGATGTCTCACTCGACTTCAAAACCTTAAATATCTAATTTGTTCTTAATTTCTCCCTGAAAAACAGTGTTCTTGCTATCCCATAGCGCTCTTAATGACATTAATAGGTAATACAAATTTTGTCAGCTGATACTTTCGAATGTTTTTAATGTTTCTAAGCTTGAAATCTCAGTTGGATAGTATGGAGAAGCTATAGAAATTATTTCACGATCTTCAAATGATTTATTTAAGTAGGAGGACTTATTTATTGCTGCTTATGGGTTGCATCGTGACATTGGGGCATCCCACTCGACTTCAGAACTTTAAATATCTAATTTGTTCTTAATTTCATCCTGAAAAACAGTGTTCTTGCTATCCCATAGCGCTCTTAATGACATTAATAGGTAATACAAATTTTGTCAGCTGATACTTTCGAATGTTTTTAATGTTTGTAAGCTTGAAATCTCAGTTGGATAGTATGGAGAAGCTATAGAAATTATTTCACGATCTTCAAATGATTTATTTAAGTAGGAGGACTTATTTATTGCTGCTTATGGGTTGCATCGTGACATTGGGGCATCCCACTCGACTTCAGAACTTTAAATATCTAATTTGTTCTTAATTTCACCCTGAAAAACAGTGTTCTTGCTATCCCATAGCGCTCTTAATGACATTAATAGGTAATACAAATTTTGTCAGCTGATACTTTCGAATGTTTTTAATGTTTCTAAGCTAGAAATCTCAGTTGGATAGTATGGAGAAGCTATAGAAATTATTTCACGATCTTCAAATGATTTATTTAAGTAGGAGGACTTATTTATTGCTGCTTATGGGTTGCATCGTGACATTGGGATGTCTCACTCGACTTCAAAACCTTAAATATCTAATTTGTTCTTAATTTCACCCTGAAAAACAGTGTTCTTGCTATCCCATAGCGCTCTTAATGACATTAATAGGTAATACAAATTTTGTCAGCTGATACTTTCGAATGTTTTTAATGTTTCTAAGCTAGAAATCTCAGTTGGATAGTATGGAGAAGCTATAGAAATTATTTCAAGATCTTCAAATGATTTATTTAAGTAGGAGAACTTATTTATTGCTGCTTATGCTCAGAACCTTAAATATCTAATTTGTTCTTGATTTTATTGTGAAAGAAAACAGTGTTCTCGACATTTTGTAGCGAGAATCCTGGAAACAAATTTATTTATTTATTTATTCACGGTATTAAGTACCCATTAGTAAAGAAAGAAGGTAGTTACATTATAAAGATAAATAGAAAAACAAAAATTGAATGTTATGAAGTATGAGACTGACCGTGAATAATTACAAGGAGATGCCAAGTAAAGAACATTTAAATGATAGAATTGAATGGTTAAAAACATCGATCAAAGTGCATTCTGGAACGACCATTAAATCTAAACATTTCGATGATATTGGGACACGAGATCAGACTATTAAGTACGCTTTTAACAAAGAGTAAGCTACTTTTCTGTGGTGTTCAAATGTGGTCAAATTCAATTTGCTCAGAACGTAATCGTAATTATCAGTATCACC